CATGGTGCAAGGGCTAGATGGGGTCCCGGGGACCCCGCGCTCATGCCTCGATGCCTGGCTCAGCACCCTCAGCAGCAGCCCAAGGCCTGCCCTGGCCTTACTGCGCCCGAGCACTCTGCCAATGGCGACCTGTACTGCACACGACGTCACCGGGCACCAGGCAGATCCCTGGCCCTGGGCCTCCCCATCACCAGGCACAGCAGCCCAGATGGCCCTCATGGTGTCCCTGCCCCCACCCTCCCCACACTGCCATTGGCTGTGCTGCTGCCCATTCGCCAATGGTGATCCGTGCTGCTCCTAGCATCACCGGGTGCCAGGCAGATGAGGGATGAGCATGGCCCTCGCTTTCAGCACCGGCGGTCCCCGAGCCAGGCCCTGTGAGGCTGCGACACGCCATCCCCCCGCAGGCCGCTCTCTGCGTGTCCATCCCATAACCCAGTATCCTCTGCCAGACAGGGGTGAAGGCAGCAGACATGCACTGCACAGCCTTTGAATCTGCAGGGAGGCCCTTCCTTCCCAAGGAGTCCCCGCTCCTTCCCCGAGCAGGACAAGGAGCCCAGCCCACCCATCAAGGAGTTCTCTCGCCATTGAGGTCACTGATGGCTGAGTGGCTGTTAGAGCAGGAGCAGGCACCTGGCTTTTGTAGGTGCTTGTGAGATCACTGGTGGCTGAGCAGATGATAAGGAAGAGCAGGCCCATGGCCTGTGCTGTTTCTTGTAAGCCAACTGGTGGGTGAGTAGCTGATAGGCAGGAGCAGGCACCTGGCTTGTGTGATGTCACTGGTGGCTGAGTAGCTTTGCGGGTTCGGAGAATTATGGCATCCTTGGTTCCAGTCTGGCTGCTTCTGTAGGTGCAGCAATGGTGCAGGAATCCCATTTCTGATACCAATGTTAGGGGAAATTTTTATTGTACCTCTTGCGGTGAATTAAACACACTTTTGTGCTTAAATTTAGAAAGATTTAATGAACAATGCATTGGACAGAGTCCTACCGCCGTAAGCTGTTCTACAAGGAACAACTCTGCCTCAAAGATACTTGTCATATCGTTGCAAACTTGCTTACCAGAATATTCCCCACAAATCTGGAAAAATGCTTTTTGCATCATAATTTATCACATTTTCAAGCTTGAATTAATGATTTATCTTTCCTGAACTGGAAGTAATATGGGGACTTGACTGTGGTATTTAAGCACAACCCATTACAAGAGATAATGCTGTGATTCTGACTGGCCATGGAGAGAAGCAAACACTGTGCGTGCAAAATGGGGACATAGGGATGGGCTGTGTCCTTGGAGGCAAGTCTCTGTCTCCAGGATGCTCTGCTGTCTGCTGAGAGTGCTCAGGGAAGGACCTGATGGCTTTCCCAGTGCAGCTTTTAGCTCTGATTGCTCTCTGTGTGGATTGTATCTGTCCTCAGCCAGGCACCCAGTAGCTTTCAGATGACGAATGGGACTATTCCAGGGCAAAGTGAGCAACTGAGATCCCAAGCCTGTTTTGTTCAAGGCAATCAGGTGAAAATGTGCTGTTAGAGCTGTCTGCTTGCTTACCATTTTGGTTTCAGTGCTCTCGTCTAGTTCTAATCTTGCAATATTTTTGCTACAGCATAAAAATTATATAGAGAAAGCAGGTCTTCCTCACCCACACAGAGCCCTTTCCCACAGCTCAAGGTGAACAAACAAAATCTCTGGGTGTATGTTGGGTGGAAGGCGCAGATGGGGTTTGAACCCCTGATCTTCAATTTATTAACTGTCCAGGTGGAGAATCTGGCACTCGCTCTTGTTAAATTTCACATGGTTGGTGATTGCCCAGCTCTCTAGTCTATCCAGATCTCTGTAAGTCCTCTCTACCCTCAAGGGAGTCCACAGCTCCTTGTAGTTTAGTATCATCGACAAACTTACTTAATGTACATTCGATCCCTGCATCCAGATCATTTATAAAAACATTAAAGAGCAGTGGCCCTAAAATTGAGCCCTGGGGAACCCCACTGGTGACTGGCCACCAGCCTGATGTAACCCCATTAACTATAACCCTTTGAGCCCAACCCATCAGCTAATTGCTCACTCAACATATTATGGACTTGTCTAGCTATGTGCTGGACATTTCGTCTGGAAAGATACTGTGAGAGACAGTATCAAAAGCTTTGCTAAAATCCAAAAAACCCACATGTACTGGCATCCCTTGGTCAACTAGATGGGTGACCTTGTCATAAAAGGAAATTAAGTTAGTTAAACAGGACTTTCCCCTCGTGAACCCATGCTGGCTATGACCAATGACTCTGTTGTCTCTCAAGTGTTTTTCACTAACTCCCAGAATAACCACCTCTGTAATTTTACCAGGCACTGAAGTGAGACTGGCAGGGGTCTAATTTACACGGGCGGCCTTCCCTGTAATTACCAGGGTCTTCCTTCTTTCCCAAGAATAACTGAAAAATAATGAAGAGGTCCTGCGATAACATCGGCCATCTCTTTCAGTACCCTGGCATGAATCCCATCGGGCCCCATAGATTTATGTGCATTCCAGATGGAGCAGCAAGTCTCGAACAAGTTCAGGGTCGGCTGGGAGTTTATTATCCCTCCAGTCATGGTCTTCCTACACAGGGCGCCAGGAGTCCCAGGGCCCATCATCAGTGTTAAAGACAGAGGCAAAGAAGGCATTAAACGTCTCTACTTTGTCCTCGTCCCTATTTGTGAGGTGACCAACCTCATCAAGTAATGGACCAATGTTATCTCTGATCCTCCTTTTGCTGTTAACATATTTTAAGAAGCCCTTTTTGTTGTCCTTCATACTGCTGGCCAGCTTGAATTTTAATTGAGCTTTGGCTGCACGAATTTTCTGCCTACAGCAAAGTGACCAGCATTCATGGACCCCAATACTTTCAAAAGCAGATTCCCAGGGAACCCTACTAACTAGCTCCTTCAGCGGCCCCAAGTCTGCTCTCCCCATATCCAGGGCTGAAGTTTTGCTGGCAGTTTTTCTCCTATCACCAACGATTTGAAACTCGACTACTTTGTGGTCACTATTATGAAGACAGCCACCAATCACCACTTTGCCCACAGATCCCTCTCTGTTTACAGACAACAAATCTAGGAGGGCACCTTTCCTAGTCAGCTTCCTTAGTACCTGCACCATG